CCCAACCCTAATCAGGCTCAACCGAGGTCAGGCTCAACCAAATTCACCCAAGAACCTTTTTCCTCGAGCTCAGCACTAGTCAAACTTTTACTATAACGTGATCATTTGATCATTAGACAAGGCACAATCTAACCAACTTCGAGTATATGTGCCCGTGAGAGAGCTCAACCATTAACTGAAGGCTGGCCCCATACCTAAGCAAAGACACCCTGAACATCGCACCTTCCTACAATTTAATCATAGGTGAAATATTGAAATTGGTTTTGCTTACTATGAACCATATTATATACAAACCATATCCATATACTTGCCTCCTAAAACTAATTAGCACCTACACGTGTTAGGGACCAAGACCTCATGCATGTTGTGAATATCCACAACCCGATGTGGCCTCATAATTTGAACACTATGCAAATTGATCAACTACAAAACAAGTCATTGTAAAAGAATGTGTAAAGAACTCAATAGCCAATCATTGATCACGGCTTCAGTTTTCCCATAAGATGCAAAGGTTCAAAACATTGCCAAAGTGCAAAATCCCTTCACATCTGTCGCGTATCTTCAAAGAAGTTTCATCATTGAACATTTGGTCAATGCACCAGATTTCATAACCACATACCCAAAAACACGTGACAACAGGCATGTAAGAGAAGAGATGCATAGGGCACATCGATACGTTGAATACAAACCACAAGAATCTACGTAAACTAAAAAGCCTCGCCTAGTAAACCTTAAGCAGACTTTGGGAAGTGGTTGGACAACAATTTTGCAATTCCGGGAAAATCAACCTTGTCCTTGCCATCAAAAATGGTCTTCAGCGTGTCATCACAGTAAATCTCTCTCTTATTGTCGGGGTTCTACAAAATTATGTTGAAATTATAATAATATTCAAAAAAATCGCAACATAAAGCCAAATAGTAGACAAATTAGAGGTATAAGACAAAGATAAGGCAGTGTTATTGATACTCCTAAACTTCTGATACTTCGCCATTTTCCCAAACAAATTGGATGATCAAGAACATCTTGCAAACTTAGAAATATACAGAAAGGGACATAGATGCAGATGCAAAATAGGAAATCATGGAAGATAACTTTGTGAATTCGGGGATTAAAGATTACCGTTTAGAAGGGCATTTGAAGATGCTTTTTTTCAGACCAAAAAACATTTTCACGACCAAGAGTAGCATATTGAAACAACTCACCGGCTAGTGTTTTGCAATTAATTCAATCATATACAACTGAAATAACAATGTACAGCCTTCCCAACAAAAATACATAGAATAACCACACTAATGATTTTATATGTGCGTGGAAATGCTCTTCAAGGTTTGTAGCGTGGTCATTCCTAACATGGTACAACATTATACCAGTACGGTGTGAAAACCATTATTTTTGTAAATGCATGTATCTAATACCCTATCTGGCTTTGAACGTGTGCCGATTAAGTACGAATGCTGAAGAACATGGAAAAATACACAAAGTCATAGTACTAAAGAATTCAGATTGTTGTATCATTGTAATACCATTGCGTTTGCACAAACTTGAGCTCAAATATATGGGCATGTAATTCCGCATTGGTTCTGATCCTGCCAGAGCAGGGTAGAAGTGACAAGTGTGGAAGTGTGGTGTCCAATAACAATACTAAGGTGCAATTACTGAAGTGTGCCATCCCATACATATGCAATGTACATTGTATGTATGCATATGTTAGTTACTGCATACATTAGTATGCACAACAAATCAATTTCTATGTGAGATCAAGGTACAAGCACCTAAATATAACTTAAAAAATTACAGCGCACGCTCCAAAACTTGTTCCATTATAATGTTATGCGACATCAGTTTAGTAAAGTACAGAGTACAACAGTTCTGCATAATACTAATAGCCATTACTAAACCTTAAGACGATGTTCAAGTAACGCTGAGCCACAAAAATACATAGATACAGAAATCACAAGTATACGATGGGGATTCGGACCTGAAGGTTGTGCGATTTAACATACTCCCAGATTTTCTTGACGGCACCAGAGCGGGACGCTTCGGAGGAACCGATGAACTTGGCGAGAGCAGGGGAGACATTTTGGACCTTGAGTATGCCAGCGTTGCCAGATTTGGCCTTTGTAGCGGTAGTGGTTTTGGTAGCTTTAGGAGTGGAGGAGAAGGTGGAGGTGGAGGTGGAGGTGGAGGTGGAGGCGGCGGCGGACTTGGCCGGAGCCATTAGAGCTCTGCATTTGTTGCCAAAAACCCTAAACGAAGCCATGATTATTTTTAGTTATGGGAGAAAGCTTAGGTTACAGTTCAGTAGTAAAAACCCTAGACAGAGAGAGAAGAGGAAAGGGTTTTGTGGGTATGAAGTGAATTCTTTGTCCGGTTTATTTATTTTTTGGAAGGAATTTTTTTAGATGCCAGAGCAGTTTTCCGTATGACAAATCAATGCACAATTTAGTGCTTGTTTGGTAAGAAATTTAATAATAATTTTTTGATTGTTAAAGATAAAGTGGATTTTAATAATAATTTTTAGTGCTTTAATTTTCTTTCATATGTTAGAGATGAAAGAGCATTGAAAAAATAAATGTTGTCACGTTTTCAAATGTCTCACAAAAAACACAATTCCTATCAATGTTGAGATGTGACAATCTATCATTAATAGCTTCAATTGGACACCCAATCATAAAAATAAAAGCATATTTTGGAGTGATATACGATCTCCAAACCTCCTTCGTCCAAACCATCATCTCTACTTTCGACCGAAAGTGATCATAGGTAGCCCGGATACAAAACCGCCCAACACTATTCCAACTAGACAACGCATTCCCAACATATTGGACAATTCAATCACTCCCAGCAATCACGTCCTTGATTTCAAACATTCTTTTGAGCAACGGAGAGTTGCTTTTCCTTACCGTGCACCCCAAAAAGTCATTTCCTTGAAGGTATACTTAGTTAACCCATTTAACCCCTTGGTATGAGTTACTCCAAAGGGCTTTGACAAGAAGAGTTGAATTCCAGCATCTAGGCTTTTTAATTGGAAGATGCCTTCGCAATTCTTCTCATGTTTGTTTGGTATTGATTCTAAATGCTTATAAGTAATACATCGTACAAACTGCATGAATGATAAGTGCTTAAAAGCAATACACTGTACCCATTATTTTACATTCCACCACATTATTTTTTTATAGTACTCATTTTCAACCATACATTCTTCATTAAAATAATATTACGTGCAAATCAAATATTTTTACTATTTTTTAACCACACATTCTCCATTAATCTACTATTCCTTAATACATTTTTCAAAATTAAAGGGGCTCAAACACACGCTAAATGTATAAAAAATATATATATATTTTTTTTATCAGTTTTTTAAAAAAAAAAAAAGTTAATATTCACTTTATTTAAAAGTTAATATACAAATGTATCCTACGAACCTGGATGAATTTGGGATCAAAGTGAACACCAAAATAACTAATTTTAGCATGCTTTCTGACTGCAAATTTATGGGCATACAACAAAAGATGCACAAGAGACGTACAGTAATATCAAGAACCTTTCTTTTCCTACCCTTTATAAGAGATGAAAGTCGATGCACAATATCAGCCATGAAGGATCTCTTCAGCACCTAAAAAACACCCATTGATAAATTGATAATTTGGAGCGAGAGAATTGGAGCTATTTTCGCTGATGCTTATGCTGATGCCAATGCCTATGGCGATGATGATTGCGATGACGTTGTTTACTTGTATGCTGCTCATCCGAGTCTGAAACTTCAGAAGAACTTGAAAGGCAATGCCTGTGTCTGCTACGCCTCTTCTGATATCTACCATCATCTGAACTTTCCAATGAACTTGACTCGGGATCTTTTTGCTTGCTTCTCTTATGTCTCGTTTTCTTTGATCTCCTCCACTTATCCGCACCAGAAGATGACCCTCTTTCTTGATGACCACTCGATTCAGGACTTGATAGTAATGAACTACTATGCTTGCTCTTACCCGACTTCTTCTTGAGCTTGCTCGAAGAAAAGTTGGTCAGTAACTCGGGTAGGTTGTCCTCACTCAGGAAACCTGCACGTCAAATGGAAAGGACAATTAAATTTCTCTTAAAAAATCAACACCTTGATGATTCCCTTGATTTTTAAAAAGTTTACAGAGCTTTCACCTCCATATTCATCAAAAATATCCTCAGCAACTATTTGCTGATTGGGGTCATCAGGATTGAACCCACCACGAGGAGGGCTCATACCCGGTTTCTGTTTCAGCTCCCACTTCAGAGGCTGTAAGAGAAGTCACAAGGATCAGACACATGGATAGAAAGTGACCAAAGTCGATAACTTCTCTTGGCCAACAATAGTAAATGAAATGGAGGTCATGTCTATCATTCCTGACAGATGACTGATTGTCCCTACAAAATCCTAATTTTATCTCATGAAGCAGCAATTCAAAGTAAACCGATCGAAACCCAAATCAACAGATTGAAGAGTTAATATAAATCAATTAGATAGAACTCGCCATATGTCCTTTTCTAAGAACAAATAAAGCATAATACAGGTAATAATGCCTTGCGAATTATCTGCTTGGGATTTTTGCTGCTGCTCCTTAGATTTCCTTAATAAAACATGTTAGTACAGTGTATAGCCATTTGGGTCACGTAAAGTCATTACATAGGAATAGAGAGTCTTGATAGCTTCGATTCGCAATATCACACTGTGAATTATGCAACTCTGAGATTTAATGTTGTATATAATGGCTTCTGAGTTAATTTAGCATCACTCACAATTGATTGCTATGTTTTTTCGAACACGAACCTAATCATTATTAACCAAATCACTCAAGGCTCACACCTTGCTAAAAAAAAAGGTTATGCGTCTCTCTAAATTGAATAATCAGAGGACCAAGAAGATAAAACCTATACATGACAACTAAAAAAATAAAAGCATGGAATAGTTTTTTTGGAAAAATTACCTCGCTAGGATTGGTTTGAGCGAGGATAGCTGTCAAAGGATCATCTCTTTTCAATCGATTCTCCTCATTAGGCATTATAGCATGTTTCAATGGACATTCACGATCACCACTTTGATGACCAAAATTTCCACATCTCAGACATTTCACATTCCGTATCTCAACTCCAAATGGTTTCACCCTGGCAGGAGCACCAGTTTCTAACCTGGAAGAACATATTTATTATTTCCAGCAGCAAATACATGGACTAGGATCTCGATAGAAACCTACAAAATGACAAAGGGTTTCATCGTGTTGCAGAAACTGTCACTTTGGAATCCCCCAACACCATACCTCACAGTTGTAGCACCAGAAACTCCCATCCCAGGCCTCAAACCAAAATAAAAAAAAATAAAAAAAAGACGGCAACTTGAATGGATCCTTAGAAACATAAGAACAAGGAAAAAAGAAGCGTCCACACTGCCTACAGACATTAAGCATATTATCCACTGCCATAAAAATGAACAAGATAAATGTACTCTAAGAATGTACAAGAGTAGATGTAGAAAGAGGTCAAATTTATTAATATACTCAAAACTACAAAAAGAGACATTGCGTTTATTTTTATTTATTTATTTAGTTTCAACTGAGCTTTCCAGACAAAAAGAGACATGGAAATAGAATCTAGCAGAAAATTGAGCGTCAAGCTTAGTTGGAGAAAAAGCTTTATCAAGTATGTATGGAATAACTTTAGTTTAGTGTTCCCCGAATTTTGGTTGGGGGCATAAGTCCTTGGAAGATAATTTAGGGTCTGTTTGATTGCGAATATGAAATTTAGGTGGAAAGAAAATGAATTCCAGGGAATTGAATTACCTAGAAATTGTTTTCATGGAAATTGTAAATTATTGTGTTTGATTGTATAAACTTTTCACGTGGAAAATGTTGAAGTAAAAGTATTTTTTGATGTTCGTTTGATTTTGTTTTACGTGAAAATTGTCAATTTCAGGGATATCCTCTTTTACAATTATTCCTAAAATTTGTTCCCATTGCCAACAATTAAAAAAAATAAAAAAAAAAGCAAAAAAAATAAAAATAAAAAAAGGTGGAAAACCAAAAACCACTTATCCCCTAGGAAAAAAAGGTGGAAAATCACGCTTTAAGGTGTTGTACCTAGAAATTCATGGAAAATCAATTCCCTGGAAAATTTTGTCAATCAAACAGGCCAAAAGTGAAAGTTGGAATTCGAATTCCAAGTTCCATGGAAAATTTCGTGCAATCAAACGGGGCCTTACTGAATGGGATGCAACTACCATGTGAGATAAGTGGGGCGAGACAAGAGCGGAATCCTACTATTTATGAGTCTCGGAAGCTTGGGTGGCATATCTATGGAATAAAATTTATATGCTGCATATTAAGACATGAAAAAATGAACAAGAAACTTATTGCATTACTGCATGGTTACTATGTTAAGCCAGGATAGGATCCTTGGACTCATGATTTTCATGGAGAAACCTTTGATATTTTGAAGCTGGAATTATTGAATGCGATGGATTTTTCCACAAATTCTGGAATAGCAAAGCACCACTAGTACAGAAGAACAGCCTTTCTGCTTGTTTTAATTCAATTATAGAGCTTACTGTTGACCTCTGTGCATAAGAAGACAGACTAAATGACCAATTATAGAAAAGCAAACCTTTAATCATTTCATGTTTCCTCAATAAGAGGCATCTGAAATTATGGAAATATGGCAACAGCTAACCAATCTTGTCAAAGCTTCTCATTTCTTAATATGTGCACTAGTTCAGCAAGGACAGTTTTAGTTACACTCATTAATGATGTTGTAAACAGTAATCACTGTCACAAAAGGAAATCAAATGTCATGTTTGTTATTCAGACATATTGAGATGAAGTCCTCTTCAGCAGAAGTAACAAAGTTAAAAATTTAAAAAATGAACAAGAAACTTATTGCATTACTGCATGGTTACTATGTTAAGCCAGGATAGGATCCTTGGACTCATGATTTTCATGGAGAAACCTTTGATATTTTGAAGCTGGAATTATTGAATGCGATGGATTTTTCCACAAATTCTGGAATAGCAAAGCACCACTAGTACAGAAGAACAGCCTTTCTGCTTGTTTTAATTCAATTATAGAGCTTACTGTTGACCTCTGTGCATAAGAAGACAGACTAAATGACCAATTATAGAAAAGCAAACCTTTAATCATTTCATGTTTCCTCAATAAGAGGCATCTGAAATTATGGAAATATGGCAACAGCTAACCAATCTTGTCAAAGCTTCTCATTTCTTAATATGTGCACTAGTTCAGCAAGGACAGTTTTAGTTACACTCATTAATGATATTGTAAACAGTAATCACTGTCACAAAAGGAAATCAAATGTCATGTTTGTTATTCAGACATATTGAGATGAAGTCCTCTTCAGCAGAAGTAACAAAGTTAAAAATTTTCATGGAGAAATTCGCCAGATGATGGTAATCGACAGAGTAGTGCACACACCTTGGGGCATTTTTAAGGACTTCAAATTGTTCTTCTGTTGGTAAAGCACGGCCAAATACATCTTTCGGCCTTGGTTTCTTTTTCTCCTGAGCAGAAGGAATAGATTCTGTCATCCTAGTAAACAAGCAACATTATCATTCATTTTATTTGTGAAATGATTTTAGAAAAAATAAATTTGATAGAATAGTGATCTAAATATCTCAAAATGTGGTGTAAAATTAATTAACCAGCGTTTCATGCAAAAATCATTACAACGATGATGGAGCTCCAGCAAGAGATGGCTCCTCAGAGGCGCTGGTACTTTGCTCCTGCTCCTTTTTTCTCTCTTCTGCCACCTCTGCAGCTTTTGCACTCTCTGCATTGTAACCGGGAGGTTTTACATACATAAAGCTTACAGCTTTCATCATCTCTAACTGCACATTCACAAGTTAATCACAATCCAATAAAAATTGTTATCATCCACCATCCATGCCCCCCCCCCTCTCTCTCATGCGCGCGCACGCACGCACCCACCCGCACACTATGATTCAATAGAGCAATGCTAAATGCAATTTTGTTGCCTCGTATGAGCCAATAAAAAATATAATAAATCTCATTCTCCTAGCGTGTATGTAAGATAGATTGTAAATGACATCCCAAGCCTTTACTCTAGCAAAGTATGACATTAAATCTTGAACATAGATAAGCACAAGTAAATGACACCCCAAGCTTTTACTCTAGCAAAGTATGCCTGTGCTTGTGCCGTTTTCTCCTACCATTTGAAGTCTTTAATATGCCTTTATTGTCCCATTTCCCACGTCCATATTTATAATATAATGAATTACCTTTTCTTTCTCTTTCTTGGACACCCCAAGCTTTTACTCTAGCAAAGCATGCCTGTGCTTGTGCCGTTTTCTCCTACCATTTGAAGTCTTTAATATGCCTTTATTGTCCCATTTCCCACGTCCATATTTATAATATAATGAATTACCTTTTCTTTCTCTTTCTTGGAGACAAGCGCAGTCTGCCGAAAAAATTCCTGCTCCTGAGCATACTGTTAGAAAAAAAAACAAAGAACAAAATGAATGAGAAACCATTACAGTTTGATATTACAAACAAAATTTTGTTATTAGATCGAAAGATGAAAGAGATCCATATGGCCGCACCAAAACTATACGTGAAAAAGAATCAAAATTTTAAAATTAAGATACAAAAATGGCAACTTTAATGAAGAATGTCAATGACTGAATTGACACGCAATAGTTCGTAAAACAGTTGCAGCTTGCCCCGGTTGACAGGAAATATCACTCGAAAAGCTCATTTTCGAGCAAGCAACCATAATCTTGGAGTAAAGAATGGGGAACTAGCATTCCTCTACGAGTGGAAACATTTCAAATTCTTGCTGCATTCCCCAAGTACGCGCATTACTAGTGATGTACTTGTCGCATACAAAATTTGAATAGAATTTAATATTAAGCTCATTTTAGTGTATAGACCCGGATCTTTAAGAAGAAGACAAGAAAGAATCAGTTTAAAGTCCACAGAAACTATCCTGATACCACGCACTGAACTATTGTACTTCGGGGGGGGGGGGGGGAACAAAAATAATAAA